TGTCCACACCGTATAGTTCTACGGACTAATCTGTCGTACTAATAACGTGTTCCACACGGAATACGAGACGGTGTTATTTCCGGTGAGACTTGCACGTCAAAACGAATAACCCCCCCAGACCCCAGGCTTTTGGTCAGTCATAGACCACACTCCCAATCCTAATCCCAATCCCAATCCCAATCCCAATTACAACACTTAGCTCACCGGGTACACCACCACCCCCATACCATTACCGTCCGCATACAATACCTACTGCTTGTGTCCGTGAGCTAAGTGTTGTAATGGGATTAGGATTGGGATTGGGATTGGGAATTAGGATTGGGAGTGTGTCGGTCTATGACTGACCCAAAAGCCTGGGGGGTCTGGGGGGGTTACTTCGTTTTTACGTACAAATCCCACCGGAAAATAACCCCGGTGGGATTTCCGTGTGGACACTTTATTAGTACGACAGATTAGTCCGGTAGACTATACGGTTGTCGGGACAATCCACCTTAACTAAAAGAGCCGGTTTCCTCTTCACGAGTGATAGTGGTCTAAAAAGTCTAAATACTTGTTATAAACTCTCTTTACCAATAAAACACATCACATCTTTTACAAAACTAGGAACTCAAGTAGAGTACTTTTACCCTCGCGTTTTTCTTTCACAACGCAAATATAAAAACAAGTCACATCAATTAGGTACTGTCATTTGTAATCAGTAATGTAAAGGGAACATAGTACTTTCGTCCTTTAGACCCGAACTTTGTTGACAATGTCAAACGAAAATCGCTCCCATGAATTCACGGACAGACAACTGACCAGAAAAGAAAGATTCATGATTTTCCCTCGGCTGAAGTTGAACCTTGCCCTTTTGGTCAGGTTTTTATTACGCAGTAAAGTCACTGAAAAATGGTGACATACAGTCAAGTATTGACTACATCCTCAACAAGGAGAAATTGATTACCACAACATATTTACTTCCGCGTTATCGATGTACAGACGTTATAACTTTATAAGACAATCAAACCAGGTTGTCTATTTACTGCTTAAGTTCTCTTATCGGTCGCGATAGTGTGACCTCATGAAAAGGGTCATATCAAGGCTATATCAAGACTTTACAACGCAAGTGCGGGTTTTTATAGACCTTGATCTTAATTCAAGTACTCTTGGAAAGGTGTGGGAAAAGTCAAGGGGACGATCTCTCGTCCATGAAAGTACCCTGTCTTTTTCCAAAGGGTAAGACTAACCGACCCACTAAGTTTGGTGCGGGCGCAGATTTTGAGGGGTTTTTCACCAAAAACACTTCCGGCGGTAACAATAAAAGCGAGCGTAAATCGACATATCGTAATCGTAGACCGCGTCGCGTGTTTGGCGTCTCTCCATGAAGTACCGTTGTGTTTTCTTTTTGTGGCCCTCGCCACTTCTACTCCCACAGCGCAAGACCGCAACCGCTAAATAAGGCTTCCGAAGTCATCTTAATCTCAAGATGACTTCGGTCAGAGAGCCGTTCCGGCCGCCCCCTAGAAGCAGCGGCCCCTGAAAGCCCCACGGTCATATGCGGCACTTCAACAAACGCCCACCGGACGGTCTTTGGGTTTCGTCTTCTTCTTCTCTCACTGTCAGTCGCCGGAGTAAAGCATTAGAAGGGAGTCCGCTAAATAAGGCCACACTGCGCTAGACGAGAAATCAAGTAGTCTTGAGAATCACTTGAGAAATCAAGACTACTTGATTCAAGCTACTTGATTCAGCGCGTTTAATACCACACTTTTCGGCGTCTGGCATATCAAAGGTTAGTTCCTCTCCGTCGATGTCCTCACTCTAGGTCCGCCTAGTTCCTGTACGAAAGACCTCCATCCTAAGTTCTCAACATGTAACCTTACGTTCACACGATTCCTTGATAACCGTTCAGACGAAATAAATTAGTAGTACATACAATATCTAATACGCCCCAACTAGATAAATGTCTAAAAGGTATTACGGCGATGGTTGGTTACCCAGTGGACTGCTATTTCGGTTACGTCTTACTAAAGAAGTGGATTTTCTCGGCAAAGGAGAAGTGCTCACTAGCACAGATTTTTTCAGATTTATGAACAATATTTGAGAGAAATGGTTATTTTGTGTATATAGAAAATGTTTTAGATCTTTGAGTTCATCTCATGAAAAATGGGAGCAAAAACGAAAGTGTTGCGTTTATATTTTTGTTCAGTGTATCTGTAGTATGTTTAATCAACTTCAAGGTGATTTCAATAAAGTTCTGTAAGTGTAACCAATAGCTGCCTGAAGAGGGAGAAATCAATCAATTAACTTTACAAGATACCAATCGGCCTAGAATGGCATAGTATTTTTGCATTTACTGTTGATGCAAAGTCTTAATATCACAGCGGCTGATTTCCAAAGACGGATGAAAACAGGATTCCTGTGGAGAGAAGAGTTGAGGAGAAAACAAGTTCCCGTCCATTTGCACAATGAGAGGTGCAAATTAGCAGTCTTTAATTAACTCTGGAAGTGTGACACGCTTCTGTAAATGTGATGCATTGCATGATGTTTTAGGTGCTAGTCTTGTGCGGGGGCTCTGAAAATCCCACAGTCTGAACTCTGAGGCAAACAAATTCTGTGGGATGACTGAGTCCCTGCCTCTCCTCCAAAAGCTCTAAATCCATTTACAACTCCTGTTGGACCTACATTTAGTCTCACTGCAAGAGTTTTATGACATCTGAATGGTCTTTTACAAAGTACAGATTGCTTTTGGTTTAATATTCGGCCAATACTTCAATGTATTCTCTCCCCACAAGTAAAAGCAAAGATGGTTATCAACCTGTTATCAGTCATTTGGAGATAATCCAGCAGCGTCCACCTGCACGTGGGAGTGGAAACCAGCTGGTCAGTGCGTGGGATGCCTTGTTTACCGTTTCAGTTTGCTGGCACTAAAAAGCATTGGGAGATCTCTTCAGTGTCTCAACTCAGTCACCTTGTGTAATGCACTCACAGCCGAAAGCAATCCCTCTCCATTACTTGGAAAATCATTGTTCTGGAGCACTGTCTAATGATCGTTATTTTGAAGAAAGTAGATCTGATGCTAGAAAATGCAACATATCAAACTGGCAGCAACAATTAGAGCATGTTGAGACACTGTTAGTACTAATAAACGCAATTATCTTTTTTTTTAAATCTGTTTTGGAGCATTTATTGATTTTATTAAAGTGAGTTTGATATGTAAGGCTGTCTGACAGAAAAGCATTTTGGTCCACTGTTTTCTTTTTTTGGATGAGTAATACACGGTTGAGTACAAATCATTGAAAACCTTGACAATGTCACGTTATGCTGTTATTGAAATGTTCCTGTCACAGCCATTGGACATAGTGCCTCTCTCTTTGAATGTTAGCAGAATAATCATTTTTATTTGCTTACGTGCTGATGTATTTTCATACACAAATATTACATAAGCTTATTCTAATTTAAAAGAATTCAGCAGTTGCCGGAAAGCGAAAGCTGAACGTTATGACACATAAAGGGATTATGTAACACATGAAATATAAATATCTATATTTGGAAAGCAGAGCGTCAGAAGGTTTTCTGTGTCTCAAAATTGCATCCACTATTTTATATAATGAGTTGTTTGTTTCCACAGATCTTCCTGTTGAGAAGACAGAAGGATAATTCATTCGGCTGAGTCAACTGAGACTGTGTGGCGGAAAAGACAGGCTGAGTGCTTCATGATGGGAAACTTTAGGTCATCACTGCACAGGACTTCCTCCACGCATGATATATCAAGGCTGCATTTCTTGATGCCGCCTTTCTGCAACTAATGGCATCTTTCTGCAATAAAGTTTAAGCAAACAAGGGATGAAGTCAGCTAAAGTGGATGCAAATTGATAGAATTCACACTTTAAACCCATTATCCAGTTAATGATTTGGCTTGAATTCTGTAAGCTGGCGCAGGCAGACGCTTCCCACGTGTCTACCTGAAGCCGTCCGTTTTATGGAGGCCTTGCATAGTCGCCTGACGACTGGGGAGCAGTCCGGAGGTCAAGAACATTGTCAACCAGAGTCTCCTCCCCCTCAGAATAAGTCTCCCCCCCAGACTCGTCGACAACAGCAAACTGGCTCTCCGAAGCCCCATGACACGCTACCGCAACCCAAACAGTCCAGACGACAGCATCCTGGACGCAAACGTCTCAGGCACCAGCGGCAGAGCGTCGACTCAGATGCAGCGCCAGAACACAAACATGAGGCTACGAAAACAACCACAGCTTCTAGTCCATCACCGGGCTCGCCTTCCTCAGCAGGAGGACCCAGCGAGTCCAAACCAGACAGCCAGGAGGGCACCCCAAAACAGAAACGAGAGCGCAAGCCTCAGAGACCGGGCAAATATGTCTGTTCGTACTGTGGCCGTGCGTGTGCAAAGCCAAGTGTGCTGCAGAAACATATTCGTTCCCACACGGGTGAAAGACCCTATCCCTGCGCCCCATGCGGCTTCTCTTTTAAGACCAAGAGTAACTTGTACAAACACCGTAAATCGCACACCCACAGGGTGAAGGCAGGTCTGACCCTTGGGGAGCCGAGATCTTTAGAGGAGCAGGCGACTGAATCAGAAGATGAAACCAGGCAATTATCCTCAGCATCAACCCTTTTAGAAAGACGAGACAGCGTAGCCTCAATCAAGAGTCATGAAACAGACAGGGCCAAAGATTGCACAGGAGGAAGCGATGACTCCTTCGCAGTGAAGAAGAGACTGGCTCTGCGTCTAAGTAGAGGGAAGCATGGTCAAAGAGACTCATCTGATGAAAAGACCTCATCTCTAGTTTTAGGGAGTAAAGGCAGTACAGAGTCAGGATATTTCTCTCGCTCTGAAAGCACTGAGCAGACACAAGACAGTCCACCGAACACAAGTGCCAAAAGCTACGCAGAGATCATCCTCGGCAAGTATGGACGTCTCGGACACCTTCAGAGGATGTCTCGGCACCATAACCAGCAGCCCTCTGGTCAGGAGGACAAAAGCATCCCGTTCACAGTGCCCAAGAAGCAGGTAATTGACCATATCACCAAACTTATCACGATCAACGAGGCGGTGGTGGACACCAGTAAAATTGACAGTGTAAAACCAAGGAGATTCTCACTCTCCAGGAAGAATAGTTCAGACGCTAAAAAGAGTTCAGCTCTGAAAGAAACACTTGTTCAAAGTCCTAAAGCTGTAGATCTGGGCTACAAAGGTGGCTCCATAACCATGGGAGTTCCATGTGAGAAATTTCATCATCCGAGCCTAAAAGTGGAGCAACCAGCTGGTCAAACATCTTCCGCTCCTTTGTTGAGAAGCAACTCAATGCCATCTGCAGCTAGTTCGTTTGACGCCTCCAGTGGTGGACTCAGTAAATTCCGCCTAAGTCAGTCTTTTGATGAACGACAGCCGGTGTCCCGTCGTTATGGGATGCTAAGAAGGCAGCCAGCTATTGAAATCCCTATTGGAGCCGAAATAACACAAGAGGAACATGAGGTTTCTCATTCCCTTTTCCCTGACAGCGTCACCACTGTGCCTGACCACACGCTAAGCCAACCGCAGCCGTATGAGTGTGAGGCCTGCGGCACCGGCTGCAAAGACTGGGAAGGTTATAAGAAACACAAACAAAGCCTATGCCTTGCACATCATCCCAGAAACGAGGTGGTCATTAGTCAAATGGGATGCTCCCAGCTAATTAACCATGCAGTCAGAGCAGGAGCTTCAGCAATGCGAAAGAGAAGGAAAGAAGAGAGTTTTGAATTTGATGATCCCTCTTCGCCGTCATTACCCTCTCCAGCGCTCTTGTCGGGGAAGTGTAAAGATGAAAGCAGTTTAGCTTACGAGAGTCCAAGAAGACCTACACTACAAACCTGTTCAGTAATCCAACATACAAGTTCATTTGAAAAACAGGAGTCTTTGTGCAATGAGAATCAAGACCCTCATGAAGAATATCAACTGGTGCCTCAGAAAGAACCGTCGACCAAACAAGCAACTCGAAAGCTGGTCCGCCAACACAGTGTGCTGGTCCCAGAAATACTGGTCACAGAGGACTCAAACATGAGCACAGCGTCCTCAACAGAGACCTCATCCATAGCAAAACATTCAGAGAAACCTGAGGAGTTTCAGTGGCCGCAGAGAAGCCCCTCTCTGGCCCAGCTCCCCATCGAAAAGCTCCCTCCAAAGAAGAAGCGCTTACGTCTGGCTGAGATCGCCCAATCCTCGGGGGAATCCAGTTTCGACTCCATATCCCTGCCTCGCAGCCCGAGTCAGGACAGTAGTGCATCTTACGCATCCAGTCGGTCCACGTCCTTTGAAGAGTCGAACAGACCAGACATGGAGTTAGCAGGATCAACCCCTCTGAGGAGATCAAGAGCGGCTCAAATGTTGATGGTGCCCGGGGTGCACCAGCACCGAGAGATGAGGCGTTCAGCTTCAGAGCAGGCGCCTCATGACCCCCAACTGAGTGTCCTCATGTCTGAGACTCGCAGTAAGTCATTTGACTACAGTTGCCTGTCGCCTGAACGCTCTGCAGTTGGCTGGAGGGAAAGAAGGAAATGCCTCCTTGTGAGACACACTGCTATTAGAGATCCAGATGAGGAGGAGGAGGAGGAGGAAGAGCGGTGCACGATACAGAACCATAGTCCTGAACGCCTCAGCTCTACAACAACTTCTAAAGCAAGTCCAACTTCTACGTACAGGCCTCCTGCTTCCCCGTCATTAGGGGATCCAGTCCTGCGTAATCCAGTGAGATTACAATGCAAAGAGATCTTCTCCCAGTGGAAACTAAGTCAAAATATTCAGTTAACCGGCGGCACAGAGCTCACATCTGTAGATCCTGTGAACGAGGAGGTCTCGAACATCCAAACAGAGCAACCCACGCCTCCAGCCCCACAACCGTACCCTTCACATGCAGCATCAGGTGCAGCCAGAGCTCGATACCTCCCCATGTCTACAGGACTGAAGCTAGAGATCCCCCTTCTACATGAGGATTACTCAGAGGTTAGAGTTACTCCGTCCGTCCCTCTTATATCTTCCAGTCTAGAGTTGGTTAGGCCGGTCACGTCTCCAGCAGTAGCAGTTCGTCTCCAAACAGACACCCTCACCCTTGCATGTGCCATATACACAACATATTCTCAACCCAGCCCCCCAAGACCCCCAGATGCCTTTGATTCACACAATATAGGCATCCCTAAAGCTGAATATAGAAACCACAGGTATGCAAGTACGGACGTTCAACTGTGGCCTGACGATGGCCTGAGGGGATCGGGCTCAGGGGGGAACAAACGCATGCTTTCGCCTTCAAATAGCATGGAGCTTCCGTCTGAGTCTAAGCAGCAGCAGAAAAGAGTGAAAGAAGAAGAGGGGAAGGAGGTGGGAAGGGTTGACAAGGCATCAGTGGACACGTGCAATCAGGAACTAAAACATCAGACATCCAGTGTTTACACTCCCATCACACATGTGGGAACATCATACCCCAGTCTGCAGTCCGGCACCTGTAATAGCTGGTGCTATTTGAACTACATTAAACCAAACCCTTCCCCTCTGGATGAACAGAAGCCCTCAGTGTATTCATCCTGGTCCACGAGCGGCTATGACCCCAACCCACCTGGCCTCTCCAGCAAGACAGCGCTCTCTCTGCTGCAGTGCAAGCAGAGGCTCAGTCCCTCCATCTACACCTTCTCCCCCATGACAGTCAGGACAACAGAGTCAATGGAACAAGAGGACAACAGAAGACCATGCTCAACTGAGGTAATTTCATCACTAATCACCAGAGGTGGAAGAAGTACTTGAACTTAAGTAAGAGTAGATATACCATAGTGTAAGAACACTCTGTTACTCTGCCTTATAAATGTTTCTCAAGCAAAGAAAAACAAGTATTACTTAAAACAAAATATACTTAAAGTACCAAAAGTAAAAGTACTCATTCTGCAGATTGGCCCATTTCAGAATAATGTATATATGTTTTGATTATAAATATAGTATTTACGTATTAATATGATTATCACAGTTGGTAAAGGTGTAACTAAAGTCTAATGTAAGTGTTAATTATATTTGTTATCCGTATCCATGTCTATGAAGTTACTTAGGGTAAAGTAATACATGTAGTGGAGTAAAAGTACTATAGTTACCTCTGAATTGTAGTTGGGTGGAATACAAAGTAGCAGAAAATTATAATACTATAATAGATTATAAGAACCTAAACATTTTACTTTACTACAGTACTTAGTTACCACTGTCAAACATTGTCTCGAAATCTACCAAAGTCCATTGACAAAAACTGTAATTTGACCTAGCCAACCACAGGAGTTGCTGTTCTACAACTGCCATCATCGGTTGGTTTATTTGTCATTTTGTGACTTTACTGTTTTAAACGGAGAGTTCGGATCCACAAAAGTCGAATCATAACACAAACTATCTAACCAATGGAGGCAGAAATTGACCAGTCACTTCCCTTTTCCAAAAGGTATCCTCAAAAGGCATTAAATAAACTTTGCTTAGTTATCCAGATCTATTATTTTGTTTGTTTTGAAAAAAAACGTTCAATGAGAATTCCCAATTTCTTTCTCCCTGGGCATGCTGGAGCAGAGTTGGTGAATTTGCCCATGTCTCTTTCGGGTGTAGGTGTACAACAGCCAGTCGTTCTGCAGAGACCGAGAGGAAACGAGGCAGCAGTCAAACGAAAAAGAGGAGCAGGAGAAGAAGAACGATGAGGAGGATGAGGAAGTACAGTCATGCTCCAGAAGTCAACAACCTCCTGACGTCTGGAAATCTGAGAGAGGGTGAGTGTGAGCTCATGAGAAGCTTCAGGTTTTCCGGTGACATATGGCCTGTATTTACTGAATGAAATCCCTCGTTGCTAACAGTGTTGTGGGATTGCGTCACATATTGTGATTTGTTGTGGAAACTGTTGTCTGTCCACCATGTTGGACAGGGCGAGGGTTGGCTGTCTGCACCAATAGAGCCGTCTGTTCAGGGGCTGAAGCCAGAAAAAACGACATTGTTTCCTCTTCGCCTGCAGAGAATCATTTACACCAAACATCCCAGCCACTCACATGGAGGGGCTGTACTTTAAATTCCCTACTACCTAATAGAGAAATGGAAGATTATTAAAGGTGGGGTAGGTACGTTTGAGAAACCGGCTCGAGATACACTTTTTGTTATATTCCATGGAATGCTCTTAACATCCCGATAGCAATGAACATCTGAAGTATTAAGTAGAATTAAGTGCTTTGACAAAAAATCCATACAAAAATGTCATCTGTGGAAGCTGTAGCGCTGTAAAAAGCACGACCAATCATCTGAGCCGGCCCGGCTAAAGTAACTGGATGGCCTACCTGCCTGTCAGCCTTCCATATGTGCACAAATTTATCTTGTGCCCTCATTGGTCATGTGCGCGTTCGTGTGTGTTGGAGGAGGGGCTCTGTAAGGAAGTCTGAAGGAAGAGGCAGATTTTTTCCGGTTGTGTATTTTCAAATTCTAGCGCACTCGAGCTGGTTTCTCCGAAATTACCTACCCCACCTTTAAGTAGTTGTTGTGGTCGTTGATTGTCAAGAGAGTGATGTTTCAATTTCTGGACTTGTCTTTTAAGTGGACACCAGGAGGAATAGTTGATACTGTTGTAAATGGTATAAATAAATCTTAAATAGACAAATCATAGCATTAGCCAAGGGGGGCAAATTGAATGGGATTAAGCAAAAAACACAGACAAACTATTTAAAATCTTGTTTTTTGAGAACATGCTTGGATAACATTTCTTTAAAAGTTCAAATTGGCTCCTGGTTATTGTTTTAGGATTCATACTGATCATTTTATACAGTGTTTATATTCCCATTTCAACTTCCTTTTTATATTATAAATGGGTGAATGAATTGAATCAAGGCTTGAATGCCCCCAAACAGCATTTCACTGTTAAAATTAAGGTAAAATTAGGTTTGATTTGGGGATTTTCTTGCCCTGACTAAAGCAGGGTGTCCGCGGGGTCTTAAAAAGTATTACAAGTTGATAAATCAATTTAGCGAAAATTAAGGCTATTAAAAAGTATTAAAGGGCACTTTCCAAGGTGTTACATTGTGTAGTTTGTTTTCAATAAGTATATAAATTGTCCAAAGAGGTTGTATTCTACAGTCTGCCTGAAGGTCTTAAAATGTATGGAAAGGGTCTTAAAAGGTATTAAATTTGACTTCAGGACTCCTGCATATGCCCTATAAGGCCTCTCAAGCTAAACGGTGTTTATTAGACTCCGTAGGCTACTGTAGGTGGTTCTAAGCAGTAAACTCAAACTCCTGGCTCCCACTTTTATAACCTCCGAATGAGGTGATGTTTCCGGTTTTGTTTGTTTGTCAGCAGGATTACGGGAAAACCACTGGCCGGATTTTCATGAGAAATTGCTGGAAGGTTCGGCATCGGCCAAAGAAGAACCCAATACATGTCCACATTGGTTCTCACATTTGCGAACAACAGAGAATTTGTACTTGGAGGAGGTCTTTGCCACTAAGCACCCCTTTAGTTTTTAATTTTTTTTGCATATTGAAAACAGTCAGGTTTTAATATATCTTTCTATAAATGACCAGAAGTCTTAATTTGTTGATATCATAGTCACAGAAACAACTTTTTCCGATTAGCTTGAACCTCTCACAAACATCCAGTGTACTTAAACACTACCCTAAATCTGTTTGCAAATACAGCATATTAAATATTAAACGGTGTCTTTAAATACGATTAGCCAGAGCAACCATACTTATGGCTCGATAACAATACAAATCTACCAATGATATGCAAAAACTCAAAACGAAATATTGATGTATGTCCTCAAATAGAAAATATTGGACTCTTTGTTCCTCATAAGTTTGCTTAAAACAACATATTAAAATTGTATTTTTTTTTAAAACAAATAATCATAGCAACTATACATCTGCTTAATACTGTATTGACAGATACAACTTGGACCATTGCTGTGTTAAAAACTGATTAACAACATGTTTTAAGTGCCCTAAAATAGAAAAACAATGGAGTATTTTGTCCCAGGATCATAGTTTAGGACAATTTCCTGTGTATTATATGTATTAGTTAAAGTTAAAATAATACTATGAACAGAGATGGCATAAGTAAACACATCCTTTACTCAAGTAGAAGCACAGATACTCCTGTTTAAAAACTCTCTGGTAAAAGTAGAAGAACTGACTAAACTTTTTTACTTAAGTAAAAGTAAAGAAGTATGGGCTTCGAGTAAAAAGTACCCATAACTAGCAGCTGTTTTAAAGAGTACCTGACCTCCCTTTATATTAATAGAACAATAATGTCATTGTTAGCTAATGAATGTTTCCATGCTGAACAACGGCAACATGACAACGTTTTCATTGGTCCCTCTTCTTTAGAGAAGACCAGGAAATGATGGATACACGGATCGTGTTCAAATCAATAGGCACGCAATGACTCTAAATAATAATGATCACGCCACCAAACACACATTCAAACTAAAGGAGCCAGCCTGTTTGGAAAATGTGAGAAGTAGAAAGTACAGGTATTTGGGTTCAACATGTAAGAAGTAGAAAGTACAGGTATTTGGGTTCAACATGTAAGAAGTAGAAAGTACAGGTATTTGTGTTCAACATGTAAGAAGTAGAAAGTACAGGTATTTATGTTCAACATGTAAGAAGTAGAAAGTACAGGTATTTGTGTTCAACATGTAAGAAGTAGAAAGTACAGGTATTTGGGTTCAACATGTAAGAAGTAGAAAGTACAGGTATTTGAGTTCAACATGTAAGAAGTAGAAAGTACAGGTATTTGTGTTCAAAATGTAAGAAGTAAAAGTAAAAGGTCTAGTGGAGGAAAGTACTGATACTAGAAAAATGTACTTAAGTACAGTAACGCAGTATTTGTACTCCACTACTTCCCACCTCTGACTATGAATATAATAATAATACAATTTAGCACGTAAACATAAAGGGTGTTTATCTGCACACTGTTCTGTTCTTTTTTTCAGTTTTTCTCACATACATGTTCAGCAAGGTTAAAGCAGACAGGCTGAGATGAACACGCTGCGACGCAGAGCGCTGCCATCTGTGACTCTCTTCTGGCTTTGGGAGTCTGTGAACACATCCCTGTTGGGACTCATGTTGACGCTCCTCGCTGCCTTCCTCAAGGAGTGAGTCATCCTCGCTCTCTCCTCCTCAGTCTGTCTGAGGAGGAGAGAGCAACAGAGGCAGAGGAGTAGTTGTTGGGGAAAGGGGAAAAGCAGGAACTAGACTCAAATCTCAGGTGGGAAAAGGTGCTGCATGAAAGGCTGCTGATGTTGGGAGGGTTACTTTAAAAGTGTATTCCATTACAATGACTAGTTATCTGTAGAAATATGTAATCAGTAACCTAATCTGAGTATCACAATATAAAAGTAAAGTAACCTGACTGACTACTCTTTGTTACTTTTGGATTACCTCAATATCAAATTCAATGCAAATAAATACTAGAGAAAACAAATATCAATGTTTTACTTAAGCATGAGTACAAGTGTCACCTTATTGGGCCCTATTAATACAAAAGAAAAAACCCATTTACTTCAGTTCGAAAAAAAATTGTTTCGGAATTCTCGCGTCATTTCTACATTCTAATTTGAATTCCGGAATGGAATCGTCGTCTTCATTTGGAATAATGTCACATAGAAATGTAAAAGTAATCTGATTTTTTTAATGTAACTTTAATGGATACCTTCTTTCTTGTGTCCTGATTATCCCGTTACATGTAATCCATTACTGCCCAAGCCTGGACATGAAGTGGAACTATAAGCGCCCCTTAATGAAATGTTTCTCTTTCATTAAGACCGTAAAAGCCACCCTGCGCCGAAAATAGAAGCAAAAACAGCCGATGATAATCAGAAGGATTGTTTGTCGTTGGAATGTGTTTTTATTTGGGGTGTTTTTTCACGCTTATTTGCAGCAGCGGCTGGTCTCGGCCAGGGTTTCCCTCCCTCTCCCGACTGTTTGTGTTGGCTTCCTTGCAGCTAAAAGGCCCTGAAACCTTGGGCCAGGCTGTTTGGAATGGTGTGAGCTGTGATGGGTGGGGGGGGTTGTGCTGGTTTTGGCGTATGAAAGCCCCTCTGTTGCAGTGAAGTGGGAGCCCCTTCAGTGGACATGTGTGGCAGCTCAGTGTGTAGATAACGTACTCACGCTGGATAAACAGAGGCGGTGAAACGCTGCTTACAGGTGCCTGTCAGCTCCTGTTACTCCTATTGATTGAGCAGCATCAATACACATCTGACAGGGAAACCTCTCTTTACACCTGCAGGTCAAATGAGAAGCATCCACTCGTGCATGGTGATGGTGATGGTGGAGGGAAGAAGTGCCAAAGTGAGGACAGTGGATCCAACCTGCCAACATGCAGCCACGGCGTCACACAATCCCCATCGAACACCTGTCTCAAAGACAAAGGTAAGAGTTATTATTTATTAGTTTGTGATTTCCATTTCCTGTGCATCCATTATCCATTCTTCTCCAGTTGGACTGAGATGAGGGTGTCACACTTTGCCTTGCACATGTTTTGGTGTTTTGTTTCTTTCCGTTAACTGTCAAGTGGGAAATAAGTATTTTTTGTAGTAAGTTTTTGTGTTTCTCTTATTATTCTACGATACTGTTATGGTTGGCTGTGAATAAGTAAACATGTAGGACTGACCATCTATTTCTGTTTATTTAGTTTCTTTTAGAAAGGGGCGGGTCATATAAGATTATTTTCTTCTCCCTGCTCCTTTTCGCTCCATGGTGTGTTTAAAGAGACATATTTTGTTAACAATTGTTATACATTAAGTTGTGCATACCGTGAACGGAACAAATACAAATTAAATTAAATGACATTTTAAGCTTGTTTGTTGTTGTTGTTGTTGTTGTTGTTGCAGGAAGCAGCGTCGAACACCTGAGATCTGAAGCACATGGAGAAGAAACCGTTTGTTACCCGGACGCCATAAATAAAGGTATCATTTTTACGAGGTTGTTTTTCATACTTCTAATGCTGTTTTCACTGTAAACGAGGCACCTTTTTTGTTAATTCCCCTTATTGAAATTCATCTGGTTTTCTACTGTAGAAGCAAAACATATATTTATCTTGAGTCTCCAGAAATGATGTATTTCAACATTTTAACCATCTCTCTGTTACTTAGCTAACTATCTAAAACATTCAGCCATTACTTTGAGGTTTTAATTTCCCTGCTTGACAGCCACAAATATTCGCTCAACCCTAACCCCTAACCCTAACCCCTAACCAATTGTGTTCAGGTTTGTTTGTATTTATATGGACATGTTTTCAAATGAATTGACCTACTATTACCCTCTTTCTGATCCCCTGTTTAGTGTAAAAGTACCATAGGAATCAGAGCAGTTATCCAAAATCAGCTTCACTCTGAAAAACCTGAACCGTTGACTTTAATTCAATGTTTTATATCAACAGATTTCACATAAATGTATTAGCTTAGTTGAAAGCAATAATAATAAATTGACCCCAATCCTTTTTTATTTAAACTTAATATTATTGCTTTCAACTAACCTAACACATTTATGTGAAATCTGTTGATATAATACATTTAATTAAAGTCAACGTCTCTGTTTTTTCCCTAAAGAATAAGAGATGGTAAGTGCAAGAAAAATTGAGAGGAATTAAAACAAAATGTGTTAGATATGACTTTTTTTGTTCTGGCCCAGGAGGCTGTGAAGAACGTCCTCTTCCCCCAGATACAAGTCAAAATAATGAAGATAACAAGGATGGCCGTCGTGATGAAGACACCAGCTCCAAAGCACCTGAAATCCCTCACCCTGCCTCCCCTGAGGGAGATAAACCTCACCCAGGAGGTCAGGAGATGAAACTCGATCAGAAAGAATCCCCTCGGAGGAGCTCGGCCTCCGCCATGAGGGCCGCCTTCGCCCGCAGACGATTAGACGCATCAACGTCCTCCGGAGAATCTGCACGAACTAAAGAGACGTCTCCCCCTCAGAGCCTTTCTCCTCCCCCCTCCTCCCCCTCCACATCCAGTTGTCATGTCTCCATCTCCACCCTAACTCCTCTAACAGTGCAGTGTCACACCCGTCTCCCCCCGAGAGACAGACCGACTACAGCGAGACAGGTGAGTCACTTAAAGGTCACCTATTATGCAAAATCCACTTTTTCTTGTCTTTTATACATCAACATGTGTCCCCTCTGCGTAAAGAGATTCTGAAAGTTTCAGGAACAAAAGATTCTCTCACTTTTTGTCCTGATCCATTTATATAAAAACATCAGTCTTTCAACAGCAAACAGTCCATAAAAACATGTGCATTAAAATGTATATTTGAAAGGTTATTAAGAAATCTGGTTCATATTTAAACATATACTGTATGCACATATATGTACCCATCATATATTTAGGTGTACACAAATGTCTCCCCTTACCACACAAACCCAGTTAACAGGTGTAGAAATGTTTGCAGATGTGAAAAACACCCTGCAGAGAAAAAGCCTCTCCTCCTCTGAGACCTATATCAGTGTGAGAGGAAGTGGTGAGGTTACACCGAAACATAACCACACTTTTAGAGTACTTTTTTATTATTATATTAGGGAGAAGTGAGATATTCTCCCTGGTTGTTTGACATGTGGTTCCCATCTTTGGTTTTTAACGATGGCCTGCTTCTCGTTTTATCAGCGGCTGCCCAGGGAAAACATGTTGCGTCTATTTGGGAGCTCTGCGCTTTATTTAAAGGAGATGCAGGCTGGGTTTGAGCGATAATAAAAAAAGAAGAGATTTGCCTTTTTCCTTCCTTTTGCAATAAATGTGCAGCTTTTAAAATAACCCTCGTATGTACCAGCCTATCTATATTTGTTCTAGGTGTTGACTCACTGAGCCACACAAGATTATCTTTGTGAGCCCAGAGCTGCTGTGTTTAAAAACTGTTGGCTAAACTAACACAGTCGCAGGTGAGTGAAAAGACAGCGGTTTGAACAAAAGCCACGCTCTGACCAAGTGTTAATTATACACACGACTAAAACAGATTCAGAATGCACGAAAAATAAGAATTAAATGCAGATTTTATGTTGAAATCTGATGAAAATGCTGCAGAAGATGTGGTTGCATTTTCGTCATTTTCCATCTGTTGTTTGTCATTTAATGCTTATACCTTGCATAATCTGTTTATTCCACATATTTATATATTATCAAAGTATACAGTATTTATTCTACTGTACATTTATTCATCTATATATTTTGTATGGATATCATTTTCTACTTCCTGCAACTTACTTTCACCATTACAGTATGTCTGATGCACTGTTTCATGACTTTTAAAATGTCTTCAGTATATTGTATGTTGCATTGTTGGAGGATCCTGAGATTTTAATTCCCAAAACGAAAGTGTGCTTATTGTGCATATGAAAAATAAAACCTTTGAGTTATATTTAAATGATGACGAACAGGTTGTTCACTTTCTGTCAAACGTAGGAGATGAATGGTTGGAATTTTAGGCTTAAATGAACAACTAAAAGGTTGAAGTTGTTAGTTTAAATAATAAAGAAATAGGTTTAGTTCAATGCTGATACTCACAGTCAGTTACTTTAAAATCACGGTAGATAAATCAATATCCTAATTTCTCAAAATTATTTCTAAAAAACAGAAAAGCCCAGGTGGGTTTTCTGCCTCTGCAACTCAACTTCCTTTAAATATTCTGATGTCACCGTGTTTTGGTGATAAGATGGGGGGGTTACCTTGGTTGCTGATTGGCTAATGGTGACACAATCCAAAACATCTTTATGACATCATAAAGTGGCCAAAATCTGATCAGCTCATTTTCAGACAAGTTTTTATAGAAATGGATCAGGACAAAAAGAGAGAGAATCTTTTTTTCTGAAACTTTCAGAGTCTCTTTCCAGAGAGGGGAAACATGTTGATGTAGAAGAGGCATGAAGAAGAGGGGACACATGTTGATGTAGAAGAGACATGAAGAAGAGGGGACACATGTTGATGTAGAAGAGACATGAAGAAGAGGGGACACATGTTGATGTAGAAGAGGCATGAAGAAGAGGGGACGCATGTTGATGTAGAAGAGACATGGAGAAGAGGGGACACATGTTGATGTAGAAGAGGCATGAAGAAGAGGGGATGCATGTTGATGTAGAAGAGACATGGAGAAGAGGGGACACATGTTGATGTAGAAGAGACATGAAGAAGAGGGGACGCATGTTGATGTAGAAGAGGCATGAAGAAGAGGGGACGCATGTTGATGTAGAAGAGACATGGAGAAGAGGGGACACATGTTGATTTAGAAGAGACATGAAGAAGAGAGGACACATGTTGATGTAGAAGAGACATGAAGAAGAAGGGACACATGTTGATGTAGAAGAGACATGGAGAAGAGGGGACGCATGTTGATGTAGAAGAGACATGAACAAGTGGATTTTGCATAATAGGTGATTAATTTTCCTCTTGTTTTGTTGCAGTATGTGGATGAGGTTGGTCTGACCCTCACCCCCCCACATCCCCCTCGACCCCGAGGGAACCATAACCTCCTGAGTCACCTCCCCCTGCACTCCCAGCAGCCCGGCCGGACCCCCACCCCCCTGATCCCCATCGGTGGGATCCACATGATCACGCCCCGCTCCACCATGCCCCTCTACAGCCTGGAGAGCAGACCCTCAGCCGGGGCGTCTTGGAGGCTGGGGGGGTTTCCTCCGCTGCAGCGCCACGAAACTCTGGAAGGAACGCAGCGAGACCCAGAGGTGTTGGTGGGAATACAGAGAAACACCAGAGGAGGTGTTCAACAACCGTCGAGTCCCGGGGAAGAGGCAAGACATCCGGGTATCGATACGGAAAGACGTGCTGTGTTGAAGAAGACTTGAAACGACCGATTGAGGGCTTAAACTCATCAGGAAAATGTTTACTGAGGTAATACATCAAGTTAGAAGTTTCTCATAGACCTCTATACAATCAGACTTGCTTAGTTAAAGGTCACCTATTATGCAAAATCCACTGATTAATGTCTTTTCTACATTAACATGTGTCCCCTCTGTGGAAAGAGAAAATATTCTCTCTTTTTGTCCTGATCCATTTCTATAAAAACCTGTCTGAAAATGAGCTGATCAGATTCTGTCCACTTTATGATGTCATAACGATTTGTTGGCTTGTGTAACCATTAGCCAATCAGCAACCAAGGTACATTTGAATTGCTTTTCTTTATATTACTGCCACTAATAATGCCGTTTTCTCACCTTCAGCCTCGGGAAACTCTTAAAGAGACGTCGGCCAGAAGCGACACCCGGGTCAAAGACGAAGATCCGGATGTGGACAAACATGTGGCAGAAAGACCCGTTTACCCCGAGACCCCCAAAGGCCAAAAAGAGACTCCTTCCTCCGAGACACAACTCTTATAGGAGGCGGAGTCTTAAAGGGACAGTGCAAAAAGACTAAAAACCAGAGTCTGGTGTAAAAAAACACGACAAAAAAGCACTTCAGCACCGCTTCTGAATGACGCTGTTATGTAATTATATGAATAATATATATAGACACTACGTTAGATATGCAGTACGTTTTGTAAATCTTTTTTTACCCTCTGGTTTGATGTCATCGGTGTTAATTTATTTAAAGGCTATTATGCAAACTCTGTACTATATGCAAAAGCAGCTGGAATGAAAATAGAAGTTTTAATCTGTTTTTTCTTATTAACCCCTTATAACAGCTCTGATATATTATTGCTGTGTAAATGTACTGTATTACCAAAATGGATTTAAGAAGGTACTACAAATATTTATCCACCCGACCAGTATTTTGAAGTGCAATTTATGTCGAGATTGTGGTTTGAAACGTCATTCTTAAAGGCTGTGATTATTATTATTATTATTATTATTATTTGTCAGTTTTTATTTGTTTGTTGTTGTCTTTGTGTTTTGAAGAAGCAGGGTTTACAATCACCTCCTTTTCTAACGTCAGATCAGATCAAGCACTGAAAAATAATTTGATATCCAAAAGGAAAACCTGTTTTCACGTACATGGTAGCTACGGTGCAGTTTCTTTTCATAAACAGATTACATGTATTTTTGTGTTATTGCTTTTATAAACGATGCAATCACTCCGTCATTTTCATGTTTTCCATTAAACTTCTCATTTTTACAGATTTATATGAAAACTGGGTTATGTGTGTGGTTCTTCAATTTGGCTATAAGGTTTTTAATGAAGTGAATATACAGTATCTGCACTTTCCTTGTTGTTCGGAGGTATAATCTTTATGGTTTTTGCACTTATTGTAAGTCGCTTTGGATAAAAGCCTCAGCCAAATGTGCTGTAATGTTTTTAAAATGAATGGTTCCTTGAAAGGTAGGAAAAACGTATTTATCCATCTTTAACCAGTTTTAACTCGTTATTAGTTTAAATGAATGGCATTTTCTTTATGCTGCTCAAAGCGTTAAAAAATGACTTTTAAATCCAATGAATACATAAAGTAAATCAAGTAAAAGTCCATTCAAATACTTCAAGTATTTTCTTTTCGTTATAGTACGTGGTAAAAAAGTCATAGTATATTATGTCGATAAAAAAGTCGCATTATAGTACGTTGAAAAAAGTCATAGTACAGAATGCCTGAAAAAGCCATGTATAATATTATTTTTTTTAATTAGAAAAACATTCTAGTATAGTATGTTAATAAATATTAGAAAAAATAAAATTATAGTATGTCAAAAAAATATCATAGTATCATTTGAGTAATTGTTATCAGGTAGGCTACTTTCCAGCATTGGGCTATGGTAACATTTTATTTGATGGAGAGATTCTACTTAATAGAAAGCACTAATTTTAACATCGTTATACTTTAATTACCTTCCTTCAATTTGCTTTTTATATATTTTTTTAGATGTGTAATATGCATACTTGCCAACCTTTAGACCTCAGAAATCGGGAGCATTTCAAAATGCAAAATTCGGCCGTGTGTACTTAGCCTTGTGTACTTGTCTCTCATGTTTTGCTTGCATGCCTGTTGTCTCTGATAGTTCCCCTCTATATCTTGCTACACACCGTATACAATTTCACGGACAACAACACATATTATCATATCACATTATATGGTATAAAACAATAAACAAAAACTAATACCCTAACGCCCTTTTGCCATAAGTGCTAATAGAGACAGACGTTCGTCGGTCGTATTATGTAAAATTTACCCGTATGTTAACCTATAAAGTCTAGATAGTTCTATAGTTAGTCTACAAAAAGCTGGTATGATACTGAAGAAACCTGTATGGTATCATAGTAAATTAATAAGCTTGGTAATTTCAAGGCATTTCATATAAATATAAACGTAAAGAAAAATGGTTGCATAGAACAACCGGTACTTTGTCAAGAGAGGAAGACCAAAGCAGAAGTCACAAGTATTATATCAAAAAGTAGAGTATTATCACATAAAAGAAGAACCCGAGAGGAGGAAGATCCGTGTCGGAATAGTTTGTCGAACGTGAGAAAACAATTCACACAGTAATATAAATATACTACAAACAACAAGGACAACCGACACCTTCGCAGCTCGCTCCGTCAATACTATTTCCTCCTCTTATTAGTTTCACTTAGTGTGTTACTTCCGAACTTCAGAGACGCCACACCTACACACACACAGTAGAGGCCTACAATAATAAAGTCCTCTTTTCAACGTCGCACTCGATTTCACCTAAATCACACCTAAAGAGTGACGGTGGGGTCACCTAATCGTACATCTTTCGAAGTTCCTTCCTGGCTTTTCCTGTGTATAATGGTAAGAACAGTTGGGACGGGCTAAAAGTCGCCCTCTGAGGGCTAAAATAACGGCGAGAGGCAGGCCAAAGGAGCGGCCCCAGTATAAAGAGGGCGTAAAGAGGGGTCTAAAGATGTTTTTAGTCTAAATCGTGTGCTGACATAGGTGTAGCCGTGAAAATTATGTCGGTGTGGTAACAAAACCAAAAGGGACCATTGTGCAGAGAAATATCGTCGCGCGTTGAGGTTTAGACTCTCCCACTCCGTTCTATCAGGTGTCTTTTGACTTGTTCTTAGCTTGTTGATGGAGGTGTAGTGGAGACGAGTGAGGGAGAAAGGAACATTTTATGTCCAGGGGGTCGGGTGTGTATACGAGGTAGTTCCTACCACGATGTCCGGCGTTCCGTCACGTGATTCTTGTAGTGTTATTCGTACAATTACAAATTAGATTGTCGAGGCCGCCGCTAGGGTGATCGTGGGGG